ACTCTGAATAGGAAGGAATTAACTGCCACTTGTAAGTTGTTAGTGTTGTGGGTATATGAGATGGTGGATTTGTTTATAATCTTGGAACTAATGTCTATTTAATGATCGTCAGCAGAGCAGTTGCATACAGACCAGTAGTACAGTTCTTGTAGCATTTTTCTATTGTAGGTCTAACTGTAAGCATTGAAATACTTTGATTTTATGCAGATTCTATTTTTAACATGATCTTTCAGATGTAAGCAGCTTCTGATATAAAATCTTTGCATTTATCAGGGATGCTTGGACTCCTGACTTTGAACTGTGGCTTGCCTATAGCAGTCAAGTAGTGAGAGAGTAAATTATTTGAGGTGCAGGGGAGGAGTTAAGGATCACAAATATTTTCTTGCATCTCCCCTTACCTATACTTGAGGAATACAACTGTGGCCTCTCTCATTCTCTCTTGTCACAGCATTTCCATTTCACAACTTTCTGAAGGGTGTTTTCCTTCTTTCAGAAGGAAGATACTGAAATCAGTAAACAGTAGATATGTTATATATGAAAATAAAAGTATGCTAGTTGTACCTGCTCATCTCATTATTCTCTCGCTTCTCACGTAAGTCAGTTGCTCTTGCATCTGTCAGAGATGAACAGATGGAGGAGCTGCGCTGCAGCCTCGGCTATACAGGGCTTTTCCAGTTCTAGTGCAGAACCTGCTTCCTGCTGTCCTTGGGGGCCAGTGGGTTGCACCTTTTGTCCATGTCTGAATGGAACTGCTCATTTATGTACAAAATAGGTTTTGCCCTACTGGCTTCATTTGGGCTGCTTTTGTAATGCTTGTTGATGCAAGGGATTAGTTTTGCCGCTGCTCTGTCGAAAGTGCAGGTTTCCCAGATGTCATCTTTGATAAATAGGGATGCAAAGTAATTTTCAATGGGATCAGTCTTCTGAGCGGGAATGGCATCAACTAAGCCATATCAAAATTTTTTTATTTGCATCAGGAATTATGGCCTTGTATGAGTTCTAAGTATTTCTTTTTCCATGTGATATTAACATACTTGCTTATTAGGAATTTTTTAACACTGGCCAAGCCCAGTTCATCTTTTACAGGGACTTAAATGTGCAAACAGTGTCGGCTGTGATTGGAATCACTGTTACAGCATTCTGGAAAGGATGCTTTCTGTCGTGTTTATAACATCCTGCAGTTTCTTTGATATTTAGGAAACCTGTCCTGGATAATTTGGCTCTAGCCAAATACGTTGCACATCAAGTCTTTTAATTCTGAAGAAACTCAAAGGACTTATACCTAGAGGCCAGTTACAAGTAACACGAACTTAAGCTAGTCTATTCAATACTGACATTGGCTGCGTCAGGACGTGGAGATGAAACTGGTAACTGATGTATGAGACCTGCTTTTGAAAGGTAGAAGGTGTAAGACTCTTACACTTTGAATTTCTTTTCAAGTGCAACCTGTGTTTGGTTCTCTCATTATAACCCTAGTTGGCATAACCTTATGCTTGCCATAGTGGTCTTGATTTCTGTCCTGTTGTTGGGCAGTGGCCATTGGATTTCCAAAATGTACCTACAACATTGACTTGAGCTTCAATAAGGCATTCTTCTGTAGAGTTCTTAGGATGAGTAGGGAATAAGAGAACTGATAGGTGCCAGATATTAATACTTGGACTAAAGTATTCTTGCAAGGTGCTTGTGTAACCTCTGAATAATGAGATACCAGCACTTGTGCAGATTGCAGCAAACTGACTGAGTCTTGAAGAGTGCTGACATCCAAGAACATGGAATGAGGCGCAGCGTGTTTCATCATGAAGCTGTTGACAATGAGAATTAACATTCATGACAGGATAAAGATCATTGGTCTTTCATATAGGATCCTCAAAAAGCTAAATATAACTGCTGGTTAAGCAGAAACAGAGAAATTTACCCTCAATTCTGACAGATTATCTCAGTCCTCAGATAAAGGTGAAATTATTTCTTTGGGGTTTTTGGTGTTTTTTTTTTTTTTTTAGTTCATGTTAAAAGGTTTTATTACTAAGCTGTCTTTCAAGATCCTTTTTTAGAGTGAAGTCTTCCCAGTTAACTGAGGCAGGAATTCTTAATGCAGTTAAAATAGTAAGTACTAGAAAAGACAAAGTCTTTCTGCAGTCAGTGGAGCCACTGAATGTCTTACTACCTTATAAGGGAAATGAGAGAAAAAATAACAGTGGAGACACTGCCTGAATGTATATTTGTTGGTAACTTGTTGAATTGGCCTTTGTCTAAAAATATAAACACAAGAAGAGTGGGAAATACTGATGTTCTTTAAAAGCTTTTCTCTGTCATCATCAGCTTAAGATGTTATATTGAGGTGTCTTAAAAAGGACTTAATGAAGTCAGCATCAGCAGATCCAGGTGTCTCTAAAGCTGCATGTCCTGCAGTTAACACCTCTCAGCCCTGTGTTACTGGCATGGATAATCGCTCTTTTGCCTGAGATTTGTATGAGCTGTTGGCTTGCAGAGATGGCAGTAGGTAGCAGTATGCTTTTCTTCAGATTTTGCCTGAATGGGAAAGGGATAAAGAAAAATGGGGTGAGATTACAAGCTTTTTGTGGTTGATGTTTAACAAGATTTTTAATGTGTGATTGTGAACAAGTGGCATAGCAGTAGCAGGATTTGGAATTTGGGAATATCTTTTCTGTCTCGTGTTAAATTATCTGCTGAGAGCTCCTCTGGGATTTCTTCAAGGCATATTTACTTAACACCACAGAGGTTTACAGGGATATTTGATGTGGGTGGTGGCCCCTGTCATCTTAGAGAGTGGGCAGCCCTGGGATTTTGGGTTTCTCGTTGCTTGAGAATAGTTGACCGTGTTGGAATTAAAAGTTTGTGATACTTTTTTCCTGAGTAGGATACTTTGATTCTTCAGCTGCTTCTGTACTGTAGGTCCAGAATGAATTCAAGTACAGAACTTGTTCTGAGAAAACTGGAACATTTTATCTGCAAAACAGTGGGGAGGGAGGGAGGGAAACCCGGAATGTTCTCTTGGCTGAATATTCTGTCTGAAGATACAGTGCAGCAGCTTTATGCTCCACTTCTGATAAGTGACTGTTCTGTTTCACTGGAATGCTCCCATTATTACAGTTTGTAAGATTAAAACAGAACCTTGACTTCAGGGGGCAGTTGAAATCCTGTTGACTGAGATTTGATGGGTACATGCTACATGGATGATGGTGTGCATGTAGTGAGTGAGATGGCAGCATGGTGCTACACCAGCTCAGCCTACCTGGGGAGATCATGTTCTCCATCCCTGTTCTTGAATGTTTTTATGCTTGTTCTAATGATCATTATTTTTATCCTTTGGCGGGTTCATTTTCTGGTGAGTTCATAAACTGAGTGTTTGCTAAGGAGCCTGATGACTGTGTTGGAGCTGTGTGTGATGAATGTGGCATAGGCCATGTAACTGAGCACAGGACAGTAGTAGCTCAGGTAGTGTCAGGGCTGTATTTTGTTCTTTGTAGTTCATAAACATGGATTTAATAAGTACTGTGAATCCTCTGTTTAATGGGGGCCTGCTGCCTGTCTTCTGTAACCATTTAAATTAAACTAGGGTTTGTACTGGAAAGGCTTGCTTTATTTCTAAGGGGAGAAGGGATTTTTTTCATGTAAGAAACTCTTGATTTATGTTTCTAACTTCCTTAATAGTTGCTCTTAAGAGCTTATGCATTTTCACTGTGGCAATTGCTTATCACAGAGGTTGTTAACCAAATCAAACCCTGGGGTTTTTTATAAGCAACATTATATATGTTTAATATTATTTTGCTTTTATCTACTGTCATTTATAGAGAACCTTGCATCATTTTTCAGAGGTATATAATATCCTTTCTAAAAGAGATGTGGCAGAAAGGCAGGGTGATGCTGGTGGTAATTGTCCATTAGGGAAACTAGAATGGTTTTCAGTTTCTGAACTTGCAGTTTCAGAAATGTGATTACTGTATTAGAAGGTATAAGATTAACTTCATCACAAAGGGTTTTCAGCTCGTTTAAAACAAGATAACCACAGTTTGCTGCTTTAGCTTAGGTTTCTGTCAGAATCTCAACTGCAGTTGAACAGTGAACTTGAGAACAAAATGAGCAAAAAATCATACTGAGTTTGGAAGAGGATCAGATATTTGGAGACTTCCAAAGTTGCCTTATGTTGCAGTAAATATTTTTGTATGCAGTTAGAGCATTTGAAGTGCAAATTATAATTGAGTTAAGGCTTTATACTTTCATATGTTGGCAATATTTGATTTTTCAGCTTTTAGTCATTTAAGTGTATTAAAATGAGGTTTTGTAAAAGCAGATTTATGTAAAATAAGCTTGAATCTTCCTCTGATTTTAGCAAAGAAAAATAATTTGGACCAAATGGGGGAGGAATAATAAGGAACAACCAAGAGTGTTACAGCAAATGTAGGGGATTGTAATTGTGTTTTAGGTGTACTGAATTTTTATACCTCTCAAATTTGATTATTTTCAAATTGTAGTTCTATTAAAGTCTTTTCTATAGGTAATAATAATGAGATAACATCTGCTAATGCAAACCAGCATGATTCTTGCATAGAATCTCTCGGGTTTCAGTTACTACTTGTGTTAAAAATGCTGTTTCATGTTGAATCAGAGCTGTACACTGCACTGTGCAGCTTTGCCACTGGGTGGGGTATGAGTACCGTTATATAAAGGATTGCGTTCAACGAGCCAGAACGTCTCCTGAGAAGAGAGGAGGATCCCAATTCCGCGTTGGGAATTCTTTAGTGGTATCAGCTCTGCAGCTCGAATGTAATTGTAAAGAGCACATTGAACACAAGACCTTGAATGCACCAATACATAATTGTGCACTGTGAAGGCAATCCTTTGGACAGTTCTTCCTTTCAAATGTTACTGGATACGTTACTCATAGGATGCACTTTGTTTTGCCTGTTTTAGAGTTTGTTTCATAGTTTAATATTAGAACTGAACAAGAAGTTCTTAGCTGACTTTCCCTCTTCCCATAGGCCTATCACTTAAAATTGCGTGATGTGTGATCAGTTGGAGATTCTGAACAGGGAGATTGAGAGGTTATTGCAGAACAGCAGCGTGGAAGAAGACACTTTAAACTCAGACTGTCTTCAGCCATCAGTGACTGATTCCCTGGATAGAATCACTGATCCAGACAATGAAGCAAAATATTTATTAGAGCAGGTATTCCGTGCCATGATATAACAGCACCAGAGTCTTTTAAAAGTAGTTTATTCTGTTGCTTTCTTTTTGTTGCTTGTTTCCTTCTCTCTCTAGAGTGGGAACAGTTGGCTGAGGGAAAGAATGTTGATAGTGTACATAATCCCCTATAGAGAAGGTCCATGGGAAGGAACTCCTGATGTGGATCTAGCTACAGATCCATGATGTTTTTCTTAATTCTTCTTTGCCACAGTCATGCAAATTCTGAGATACACTGTTCATGAAATAATAAAGTGGTCCACTGATGGAAATCAGATCTGGGAGGGATTTGTCTTTTCCCCTCTCTTTATTTCTGGAACAGTGGCATGGCATTGGTGAACACCTAGAGACAATGATTCCTTAGGAAATAAAAAGTATTCCTAAACAACAAAGATGCGTTAAGAGCTGGGGACTTGGGAGATTTGGAGAGGGGAAAAAAAAGTGTCCTTTAAAAAGAAAAGAATGTGTATTGGCATGTCTGTGAAGGATTATCTAATCTGTACTTAAACTCTCCCAGTTTTTACTCCTTTGAAAGTTACTGATGTTTCCGTTGTTCGCTGCACTTTCTGTGGCAGTTCTGCATCTTTTAATGGCAGAACACAACATGCAGACTCTGTCCAGTATTGCTTTTTTGTTCTCACTAGTATTTTATAGGCCAGTTCAAAAGTAACATTTTCTATCCTGTCCATCTGGTCCTCCTTTTCCTCCCAGATTCTTTTCCACTGTTCTTGAAGTTAGGTAGACTACGTTGGGTTAAATCCTACCCATTATCCAAGCTCACCTGCTTGGAAACAGGCAGTCAGTGTTGATGTTCCATTGCCATTCTGCACATCAGTTGGGACCCCTGGACTATCCATTTGCTCTTGTTCAGGTGCTTTAAAGGAATTCTGTGTGATTTTGAGATGGTTCCCAAGGGTTGGTTTTTGGGAAGCTTTATTGTTACTGATAGAATCTGCTGTCCTTGAAATAAAGCTTCTGAAATGTTTTATATTGCAAACCTTACTTGTTAAAAGAACAGTAATAAGGAATATTCTTCTTAATTCTGAAGCTCAACTATAAATTTTTAGTACTTTTATTACAAAATCACCAAGTAGTCACTTGGATTTAAATCCTCAAAGCTGCAGGTGTCTTCTGCAGATGTCTTTAGTACAAACTGGTAAATCTTCCCTACTGTAACCTTGAGCATGCTGATAGGGTTTAAAAGCATTTCTGCAGTTTCATTGCACACTACTAAATTTCACTCTTTGAATGCTTTTAAACTGTAAATGGATAGACTTGTTGATTATGGTTTGTTGCTGTTCTGGAAGCCTAACGGGATCTAATCAAATTGATGAGAGTACAGTCATATTTGGTATTTATTTCAGAGGTCTCAGCTGGTGAGGGTTTACTTCGACTTTTTGTTCCAGTTTCTGTGTCTTTTGGAAAGTAGAAAACTCTCAAGAAGGTGACAGAGCAAGTGATAGAGGCAAAGCAATTCCAAATTTATGTAGAAAATAGCAAGGTCAGTTCATAAATACATCAGTGCCTGATTTTGTTTCCTTTCCACCCCCCAGGAGCCAGCAGGAAAAGGAGAATTTCTAGGATTTGGTCCTGCTGACAGCTCAGCGACTCTGTCTGGCACCTCAGCATCGGGGAATTCAGCATGTGCTGGAGGGATAATGCTGAATGATTCTGATCCTTTGCTGCCCTCCTCTGGCTCTCCTTTTCGTTCAGCTCTGCAGGGAGAAACCATTCAAACCTCTAATGCTGTGTCAGGTAAAGCATATAGAGGACATTGAAGAGGCTTCTTAATTCTTTACTTTTTATCTGGAATTTAAATCTCAGGATTTGGATACCTCTTCTTGTAGCTTTTAACATTTCTTCATCTTCCAAGGTAAACAAAAATGTAATTTTGAATTATTTTGGCTTATTCCCTTCTGTTGCAGCCTTTTTCTGATATGAATATAATTTTAGTCGTGTTTATAAAAAAACTGTACTTAGTGATGTGTTTTACAGGGGAACGTAATGAAATTTCCCACTGGATTGAAGCAGTTTCAGCTTTTGACCTGTGTCCTAGAGGCTTAAAATTAACTTTTTATTCTGGATGTTATGCTAAAAATAGTAAGTTACTATTAAATGGATGTTCTGGAGTTTGCTGCTTGTACAGCAACATTTACAGTATCTCACTGAAATGACTTTTAAGTTACAACTTAAGTGTTATTTTTTTTAACCTATTTGCATGAATGTTGATGTTTCTGTAGCACTGACAAGTTAACATTTCTACTGTAGCATTGTTAAATATAGTGCTAGAAAGCAGAGGAATTGCACTACAGAGAGATGGTGTTGGATAAGGCAGAACAATAAAGCAACTGTTGCAGTATGTACAATAAAGAGGCATTTATCACCAGTGCACACCACAAGATTGGGAAAAGCTTACTAAAGGGTATCTGTGAAAACCTGTAGGTGTAATATGTGCAGTTGTTAATGTTGCCTTTTGGCTATCCTGTGCAGTTCTTGAGCCAGGAATACTCATGTAACTACTCCAAAAACACTCTTTGGGGAGAGCTGAGGGAGGTTTCTTGTTGTTCTTAAAGTGCTGTTTCTGTTTACCCAGTTCAGGGTATACTTACTACTGCATAGTATAGTTTCACATGAGCAATGTAATTGCAATGACTGCAAAATATAGTTTCTGCAGTCACTGAGGAGAGTATTTATATGGCATGCAATTTAAAGCAGTGCACCATGATGTAATGCAAACTTCAATCCATGGTCATGTTATTCCTGAATTACTCAGAATGCAGCCTCAGATCTTGTATTTCTTCCTGTTATTTGCTCCTCTCAAATAAGAGAGTCTTCTGGTACACTGGGAAAGACTTGAGAGAAAAAAAAAAAAGGTTCCTGATTGTCAGCACAGTTTCTTTCTTTTTCCTGTACGGCTCATTGGTCATTCACGTAGCTCACACAGGCTGAAAACCTTTTCGTAAATAACCATGGCAAGGAGCAGCCTTTCTCAGATTTCATTCTACACAAGCTTTTATGTTTGAGAATGTTTCTAAGTGCTTGTCTATATAATTTTTTCTATCCAAATAAACCTTGCTAGAGAAATAACGAAGGGAAAGCGTGTTGCCTTATCCTGAATACCCACCAGTGTTTCCGAAACAACTGAAAAATAGCAGCTAAACTATTAGGGTAAAGACTTGGTTTATTTTACCACAGAAGATTGGAGGATTTCTCTGGTTTTTACATTTTGTTTAAAATCCAAAACCTCACTTATTCTTTGGCTAACTCTGCATTCCCTAAACAGCAGTTCCTTTAAACTGATGGGTGTTTCTACCTTGTTTCTCACCTCCTGTAAGTAATCAGCAGAAAATATTACTGGTATCAAATGCCATCCTCCCCTTAAAGCAGTAACGCTGCCTGTACTGTCTGTTTCGATGACTGCTTGTTCTGTTCTTTGCTCTTTCACACTACTGCTTATGTGATTCCTGTGTCCACGTGAGGAGTGGAACTGCTGGATGTTTTTCCCCAGACAAACTCCAGGGAAGCGATTCATACCATTGAGAAGTATTAGAAAATATCAGAGATCTCAGGAGTCCTAAGGCTATTTAATAAAATGTGTCAGTATAGTGTCCAGACCCATATATTCAACTAAGTACTTTGAAGGGATTCAGTCAACTTTTTGTTGCTATTCAGTGACTATTAGTGGCTTGAAATTCGAGGTAATTATTTGTTACAATAACAATACATAGATTACATCAGAATATGTAATAATTACTTAAGCTATGAGTATTTTTGAATCTGAATTTTGAACCTTATGTTTTTTTTTCCAGCGTTTCAGGGTGTGGACAGTGGTGACCATACTATGGAACAAGCTGTACGTTCACAGCCAGTGTCATTAGAACCTGAATCTAATACTGACAACATGGAAAACAGTTCTCCTGGTAAGACTTATTCCTTTTAGATTGAGCAGAAAATGTGCTTATTTGTCTATGGTGTGCATATATATATATATATATGTGTGAATATACGTGTATTTTTAAGTAACAGAAGCATTTGTAACAGCTGGGTTATGTTGGCACAGTATGCAGTGAGGTACTTAATTGCTGCTGTCGCATTACATTGACTATAAAGCATTTTATCTGTTTCCAGCGACATAGAATGAGATAAAAAGATACATTACCACAAAGAAAACATACTATGTTGAAAAAAACTCCTTAAGAAATAACGTCTTTCTTCACCACCAGTTTAATACCTGTTCATTTGTGTTTAGCATCAGTTGTGGATGAAAAAGGTGAGCAAAGCAATGAGGAGGAACAAAAATCTATCAAGCCTACAAGTAAAGAGTTCAGGAAAACCTGGGGGTTTCGAAGGACCACAATTGCTAAGCGAGAAGGTGTAGGAGATACAGATATGGACTCCAGTGAGCAACAGCCCCAGCAACAGCAAGGCTTAAACCTCAGGAGAAGTGGACGGCAACCAAAAAGAACAGAAAGAGTGGAAGAATTTCTTACCACAGTACGACGCCGAGGAAGGAGGACTATTCCTACTATTCTAGAGGATTCAAGTGAAGCAGTATCCTGTCCAGCTACAGATGCCGAAACTGCTTCAGAAGATAGTGTAGAGAGCACTCCAGATGCAAAACCTTTAACTCGGAGGCTTGGCCTTAGGAGCAGTAAGGATCAGAAAGACTCTAAAATGAGACATACAAAAGAAGAAGAGGAGGAGGAGGAGGAAGAAGAGGAAGATGATACTTCTGATAGTGATAGCGATGGTTTAACACTAAAGGAACTACAGAATCGACTAAGAAAGAAACGTGTTGAACAGAAACCTGTGCAGCTGACAATAAAGGATATACAGAAGCACTTTGGGAAAAGAAATGCAGAACAGAATCCTACAGAAACTGGTGATGTCCAGCCTGAAAAGGAAGCTGAGCCTGAGTTGCCTGTCAAAGAAGAACCTGAAACTGTAGACAGCACTGAGATTGCAAGTCAGGTGGTTGTGTCTGAAGAAGACACTGAAAATCTTGAGCTTCAGAAGGAGGCAAAGCCTGCCATTGCTGCAAAAGGGAACGCAGATGAAGAACCTGAGGAACTGCCCAAAAGCAAACCTGAGTCCGAGATTTATGACCCGAATGCGCTGTATTGTATTTGTCGTCAGCCTCACAACAACAGGTAGGCAAAGGTTTCAAGTAAGACCACAGAGCAAGTAGTTGGAATTTTTCTTTGATGAAAAATGAAACCAAATGCTCACTTTTTGAGTGTAAGTAAATGAGCTTTTGGGTTTGTTTGAAGTTTTGGGGGTAGTTTATTTAGTATTTTAAAGAGGGGAGGAATGAATATAGAAGTGAGGCAGAGCAGTATACTCTACTGTATGGGGTACTTAAAAGATCTACTGCTTGAAATACCTGTTGAGCTTTAATTGTCTTTTCATAATGTTTTACTTTTGTTTATTTCATTTCCAGGTTTATGATTTGTTGTGATAGATGTGAGGAATGGTTTCATGGTGACTGCGTGGGTATTTCTGAGGCTCGAGGGCGGTTGTTGGAAAGGAATGGGGAGGACTACATCTGTCCGAACTGCACCATTCTACAGGGACAGGATGAGCCTGTTTCAGAAATGGACCAGCAGGAAGCTAACGCTGGGCAAGTAAATGTGGATGGCACAGAATTCACAAGCATAGGAACAATTGAGCAAAAATCTGTTGAGGACCAAGGAATTAAGGGTAGGATTGAAAAAGCTGCAAATCCAAGTGGGAAGAAAAAACTAAAGATCTTTCAACCTGTAAGTATTTTAATAGTTTCTTACTTTCCATGCCTCACTGAGTACATTGAGACAATGGCTTACTTATATGGCTGTAAATCTGGCTTGGGCTTTTTATAAAACTAAATATGAAGCTGAACAACTCACTAAACATTACTGGTTATCCATAGTTCTGTCAGGTCAGGAACTAAAACTAAAAATGTTATTTTGATCTGGGGGGGGTTTAAAAGTTTAATGTAGGCATAAGGAAGTGCTTTGTGCAAGTCTGCCTTTCCTAAATACTGTTTTGGAAGTCAAAAAATAAGGCAACCTTTTAAGAAAAATACTAGAATTATGGACTGAATTACACTACATATATATATATATACACACACATTATACTTAAAATAATCAATTTTTGATGTTTTCAATGGTAGTGAAACTTAACACTGACAAGTGTCTGTTGGAGTTAATTCCAGCTGTACTTTCTCTATACATCCAGTTAGTCTCTGAAGTTATGACTTCTGTCTTGGTGCTGCTTCTTCAAGTTATTAGTACATAGAAAATTGTTCTATACAGCCTTTTTAACGTGAAACTGTGTATTTTGAATTACTGCAAATTCCAGCATTAAGTAGAAATACAAAATCTTGTTCCATGCCCAGTTCAAAATCCAGGCAAAAAAATACTTCATTGAGCTTCTTCAGCTCAATGTACGCAGACGTAAAAACGTCATGCTATGGTGGTCATCTTAGTAGTGCCTAAACTACTGTAGTAATGCCAAGTCTTGAACATTTTCCTTTTCTCACTGTGCCTTTAAGATCATGTTTAATGTCATTGCTGTTAGAATGCTACAGCTATCTCTGTATTTTTTTCTATATGAATTTATTCTTTCACACATGTTCTTGAAACGTTGAAATCATCCTTAGAATAAGTATGACAAGTGTGAGTAAGCATCTCTGGAGGAATCTTTTTGTTTTAGTACATTTTCTACAAAATGTTTATGGAACACTTTTAGTCAATTTAAATAGCAGAGCTGTTTGTATTAGCATAGTGGGGATAATGTATAGATGAGAAGTTTGACCTTAATGTATGTGTTTACTATTTTACTGTGTGCAGAAAACAGTATTTTTCTCTCAAATGTTTTCAGATACATTTGGACTACTTTGCACACAAAAACATTGCAAGTCCAGTTCTCTTGTTTTGGACTACATTTCACTGGTGGTCTTAGCATTAAGTTCAGCTTCTGGGTATCACCAATTACTCTCTGGTATTAGCATGCAAACAAGTTACTTGAATGTGTTAAGCATCTCTCATTTAGTGAAAGAAAAACCGTATTATTATCAACTTATTGCCTCTTTTGGAAGAACTGCTTATATTTTAGGTGGTTTTTTTGGCATTTGGAAATGGAATGGAACTGCTGTACTGGTGTTTGCCATGGGGTACCATGTCTTGAGGGAACTGAACAGTCAAATCTGTTCATTTTTTAGCCTGTGTTATCCCTCATACCTCAGTTAAGATCCCTCCATGGCTTGGATAAGCAAGCACTGCTCTCCCTCTGGAGAATTCCCTGCCCATTTTAGGCAAAAAACTCATTTCATATGTTAATATGCGGAAATCATTAACAGTGACTGAACAGTCTCATTATTCACTTTACCTGTTTTCTTGCACCACTGTTCTAAGCACTTTGAGAAGGACTCCCTTTTGGTGCTGTGCAGAGGTCTGGGTTGTGATTAAAACTAGAAATTGTAAGAGTGCAGACATCAGCACTGCAGATCTTGTCATCATTTGAGAAAATGCCCTGAATTAGAAATGACAGCTCAGTTAACCTGAAGTTTGAGGTGCTTTTTAGGTAACATGGGTTGATACTTCTTGTACTTCACAGTTCAGTGTGTACATGATGGAAGAGTACTCTAAAGCATAAGCTTAATTTTTCGAGGGAAAACTCCTAAACTGAGGTTTTATCAGGCTGCAGCAGATAATGCTGTTTTAATAACTTTTGATAGGGGAAAAGTTATCAAATTATACAAAATTTTACTGGAAATATTCCTGAAAACCTTCCTTTTGGTAATTACACATTGCAGTTTATTGATGGGGAGGGGCTGTGTTAGAACTATGGTAGTGCTGATTGTTAGGTCAGTTGTATAACATTTTTAGGAGTAATCTAGAAGAGTGAGACTACAGGCATAATACGTGGAGGTGATATAGTGGAGCCTAAAGAGCTATCAAATATTTCTATACTTTGACCTAATGTACTCTTGTTTTCACGGAATGTGCTATTTTCCACATTTAACATCTGGAGAGGAAGCGTTTAGTATGTACACATCAGCATAAATGGAGAGTAATTGTGCAGCAGAAGGGAATACAGATTGCATATGCAAACTGCTCCATGTGTAAGAAGTTTAGGCTATGGCAAATTGGGAGAATGGTTGTATTCGTGTAGGTTGGGGACTTCTGAAATGAAAACTAGTAAACCTAAAACCTCCAGAGCAAGAATTATTTGTACACCTGAATAGCTGAGTCCTTCCTTTTGAAAGTGTGCATGGTTGAGGGCAGTGGCTGATGGTGTTATGCAAGAACATGTGTTTTAGAAACCTTGCTCTTGAGAAAGCAGCTCTGCATTATTAAAGAGATTTATCACATGATACAGAGGATCGGAAAAAAGAATGTGTGTGATTATGGCATCTGAAAACATAGGAAATGAGCCTCCCTTGGATCGCTGCTGGCAGACCCACCACTTGAAAACAACACATTCTGAAAACAGTGTTATGGGAGGGAAGTTCTTACATTTGTATGTGTTGTTTCTGTTGCACCATGAATGAAAGTTGCTTTCACACTGGCAGTTGTGCAAGTCACAGTCGTAGCTGTGGTCTGCACATACGCCATGTAAATGTTTCTTAATGCTACAAAGGTATGCTTCTGTCACTTCCTCTTTGAAGTTTGAACTCACTCCATTTCAATCCATAGGTAATTGACGCTCCTGGTGCATCCAAGTGCATTGGTCCTGGCTGTTTTAATTTGGCTCAGCCTGATTCTGTGTATTGCAGCAATGACTGCATTCTCAAACATGCTGCAGCCACCATGAAGTTTTTAAGTTCTGGCAAAGATGCCAAACCAAAACCTAAAGAGAAGATCAAACCGAAACCCGACAAACCTGGCATGCCAAAATCTCAGCTGCAGGTAAGCTTGTATTCCTGATCTGTGTTTCTTGCATGAGCCTTCTAGATGGCAGCACAGGTTTGTGGTTCTTTTGAAGAATTTTAGTTAATTCAAAATTACTGTCAATTGTGAGCTAATGTGACTGCATTGTGTATATGCTTTGGGAAAGAAAAAGATTAAAGCCTTCTCTTTTCCCTTTTGAAAATGCTATAGAATGGGCAGTATTTCTGCAAACAGATACCACCACCTCCCCCCCACCATACTGATAGTACTGTTCTTTTGAGGTGGTGTCTTACTATTGCCTTTCCCTGTAGTTAGTGTATATTTCAAGTGTATTTACAGGAGTTCACTATAAAAGAAATCTATGTATATATATGTAACTATATCTCTGCTTGTTTGTAAAATGCACCTGACGATTATTACTAACTAAGCCTCACTCAATCGTACAGGCAGGTATTAAACCTCTTTCAAACCAAAAGAGACCATTTCCTGAGAAGAGAGAGGTGAATATGAAGAAGACTGTTTTGACAGCTGCCAAGACTGAGGCAAACACTCAACCTGTTGCTAAAGAGCCAGCAGTAGAAAACAGCACACCGTCCTGGGCAAGCGATCATAATTACAATGCTGTAAAGCCTGAAAGGACTGCTGCCATTTCATCTTCACTGTTGTTCAAATGTATGTATCGCATAGGGATATTCCTGAGTAATCATTTGCATTTTCTTTGAATGCCCATCCATTCTTGGCTCTGCAAGACTAGGAAATTTAGGATTTGGGGTTGGGTTTTTTTTCTTAATGTATGGCACCAAACTCTACTTTTCTCCACCTTCAAAGATTCTGCACCCAGAGATACACACGAGTGGGAAACACTTTTAGAGGTTTCATTTGTATCATACGCCAGTTGTATGATTAAGAGCCTGTCAATCTGCCCAACTGATTCCTGGAGGAAAACTACATGATTAAGCTTTATTTTTTTCCCATAAAGATAATAACTGTTTCTAATGTAGAAGAGGTAAGTATTGATACATTTTCTGTGTTTGACAGAAGGGTTGCACAATGTGCACCGTGAATCAGCAGTTGACTGTACTATATGGATTGTATTTTTGTAATTATTTGGGTATCTCAGGTCTTGCATTTTCAGTGCTGATGCCAAGAATGAAATCTTCATCATGGTATCCAACGATACTTTACACTTCTGCAAACAGCTTTTAACTGTGAAGTTATATCCAAGTTCTTCCTGCTCCTTTTCTTCCTTACATGAAATGATTTAAGGACCATTTTTACTTTTAAGTTTGGGGGGAGGCAGTACTGTATGTTTTCTCCTTTTTCCCTTTTATATTTATATGTTCATACCTCACACATTATCCACACACACAAGAACACATCTTGAGTGGATATTAGGCAGAGATGCCGCCTTGCATATTTTTGCAGGTTTTGAATAGCATCTTTGTAGCTCACACGAAGGTAAGTAACTCCTACTTTGTAGCCTCAACAAGTCTTTCTGCTAATGACATTTTTTCATTGACTCCAGCTAAGTAGTTTTATAATGCAGTGGTGGAACTTCAGATGGAATCTTACATTTCACAGTTACAAAACACATGAACAAGTGTCTGATTTTTACTCACGTGAAGACTAATGAATTCAGAAGTTCAGTTCTCACAGCTTTTACCATAAATTAGCCCATTTACATTTTATTTTCAGAAATCTGGTTGTCAAACACTGTATGGAAACACTGTATGGAAAGTAACTGATAAGTTCATAAGTTACCTTGAAGATGAGGTTTTTTTAGATATAACTTTAAACACTGAGGGAACACCTGCTACCCTAAATTGCTGTTTATTTTTATAGCACATAGTAGATACTCTAGGTATATTTTAATTGTATTTACCCACATCAGATGTTTTAACGATTATAGTTTTTCCCTGCAAATGTTCATTGTGTTTTGTTACTTGGGCCCTGTGCCTTTTTTATAGTGAACTCCTGAGATGTATTTTGATAAACTTCCTTTTTTTTTAAGCTTATTCTAGAGGAACTGTAGTTTTTTTAGCTGAAACAGTAGTATTTAAAATGTAACTAAAAGTAGGTGAGAAAAATGAAAATGAAACTATAAGGGCTGATTTTACACATTATATGCTTACGACACTTTATCTCAGTATAATCACAAGTGTCCTTATAACCATATCACTAAAAATGTCCTTGCTGTCATCTGTAGGAGACAGGAATATAGAGGTTTTGAAGTAGGGAGTTCAGTTGTGTTTAAAGGAGGTTGTTCTTAAGTTTCACCACACTGGAGGTTTTACAGATTTAACCAATTTGAGTAGAAAATTAGATTGCTGTAGCTACATTGTTTAATTGGTTCAGAACCATGTTAGACTTAAATTGTGACTAGAAAACAACCTAGTTTGTGCGATGAAGAGCTCTCATATGAAGTGCAAGGAAGATCTTCAGCTTGCTGTTACAAGGTAAGTTTTACTAATATGGGGACTCTGTGCCATTACTGAATTCCCAGGTAAATTGTTTTTGTCTTTATGAAGAAAACTGTCCTGCTTTTTGATGGATGGGTTTGAGCTGTTACCTTCCTGAGAAGCTGCCATTGCATCGTCTTTAGGAGTATTCTACAAGACTATTTAACAACTCTAAATGCTGCTCAAAGCAGAGAGGTTATGGCGTTACAGAAATTCGTGAGAGTCATCTCGCTTCACAAAACATATAATCTGTTTCAGACACTAATCTTAGAACAAAGTGACTCACTGCTTAGAAACGTGCATTTGTGTACATCACTGATGAAAGAAGTGCAAGGTGACTGGTTCAAACGTCTGGGTGTCTAATGTTTGGACTTAAGGGGCCACCTAGAGGAGGGATTCTTCCATACACAATACTGCAAATACCTCCCAGGTTCTCCCAGTAGCTTCAAGCTAAGTCCTGCAGCTCCTGATTTGTGACTTAGGAATTGAGGAAACTTAACACGATTATTAGAGCTCATCTCTCTAATGCTTTTTCTGCTGGTCAGACATGGATTTGCTTTATACATTTACTCTGGACTTGTCAGATACAAGACTTTGTTATTGTTACATATGACAGTAGTTTTACTGAGTATTAGCAAGAAGAAAACAAGCTGTTATTATAGAGGTACTGGATGATAGGGGCATATAGTATATTTGCATCTAAACCTTGCCACCAAGCCCCTTTCTCCAGCATGTTCCGGGGAATGAGTTAGGGCTGTACCTGGAAGTGACTTTGTACACCAAAATCTGGAGGCTGTTTAATGACACTTGGTGTTCACAGTGAAAATAATCCTATTTGTTTAGTAACTGGAGTGAAAAATACTTTGAACTTAGTGAATATTAAGTAGAAGTAATAGTGAACATTAAGTACAAGTACTTCTAAAGTTGCAGGCAGTATTTGAGCTACACTTATATGAGGAAATCAGGTGCTACATTCCCTTTCAGAAGTGTCGCTTCTAAGTTCATTAGGAAAATGAGTATTTATTCAATATGTAGTGCTCAACTTTTATATTGAATTTCAAAAGTCATCCTAGCTTCCAAATTGATACATATATGGGTTGTTGAGATTTAGGATTCAAGTTGTGGTAGGAATGCTGAGTTTGTGATGTGTGCTAGTGTTACCGTATTTGGGTCATATCAGAGGAGATGCAGAATTCAGGACAAAGCAAAACAGATTTCAGTTTATCGAGTAAGATCATGTAGGTGTTTGTGGGGAAGCACCATCCAAAATGATTCATGAACATTTCAGTTTTATTAGCAGACAAACATACATTGTATGGTAATAGGAAGCCTGATTTTTAATTATACTGAAGGAGGACAGACTTTAAACAACATAATATAAGCCTGTTTTTTTCCAGAAGGAAGTGCAGAAGCAGTTTGCATCACTGCCTGTTTGACTCTGCTGGGAACTTTAAGTATAAAGTTTTACACTATTTAATATCACATACTGTATTTGTAACAGGATTCGTCCATTGTAGTCATTGCTGCCCTGTAAAAAGAGGATAAAGGAACACTTCAGACATGAAGTTTGCTGATGCAAATGGTTTGTCAGCAGTATCAGTGTCTGAAGCACCGAACTCAGACCTTGTTTGATAGAGAAACACTTGGAAGGGACTTTCTTCTGTATATTTATCTGTCAAACAGAAGCCAGCAGCAAACATGTCAGCAGTTCTAAAATAGAAAACTAATCCAAAAGGAGGGAAGATAAGCATTTGCAGGATCCCCGTTTTTAAACTACAAATAAATATGCTAAATAATGGTCAGTGCTTCAAGTCTTTGAAGTTCAGCTGACTTGTTAGACGTAGAAGAAATACACAAACTGATAACTTACTCAAGTGCTAAAGCTCCTGAAGCATCTTAACTGCATCTATTGGTAACAGTAAGTGCGCAGGAGAGTGAAGAGGGTTTCTAGATAAAAGCAGTAAATGTGTTGGGTTTGTAGTACAGCTTCTGGGTAAAAAGCATTTCTTTGTCAGATAAAGAAAATTCTGTTAACTATAGTCAGGCACATAGTGTGAGTTACTTACTGTAACATCTTACTTGATACTACTCTGCATAATGGTCGTGGTACCTAATTCTGCTTCCCAGTAGTGAATTACAGAGAGACAATGCTGCCACCTCCTGGAAGTGGGAGCCCAGGTTTGAGGAGCCCTGCCTCTGGTGATACAAATTTCCTTTTATTATCCCCTTTCAGTCGTCTTCATTTCTTCTGCCGCTAAACATTTCTGCTCCCAAGAGCTATTCATAAAGTGAATACAGAGGGCATTTGGACTGCTTTTTTCCTACACACTTCTAACAAAACGTGGAGACTTCATAAAGGGAATAATGATATTGGGAGCCCATCATCAGAAAATGTGATGTGCATATCAAAACCCTGGGATTATAGCATACATAATATAGGTATTATTTGCTTTCTTTCCATAATAAGAGTACAAAGGAAAGAAAAAAACCATAGATTGCTATAAAGAGGGCAGGTGGGAAATGTAGCACACTCAGGACAGAAGAATTAGGAGGGAAAACTGATGCAGGAAGCAATAAATACTTTGCACACAGGCTGGTGCAGATGTAATGCTCTTCTTCAGGCAAGACTGTACCAGCTTGAGTTGTGACTTTTCAGTGGAGTGCAGTGTATATGTATATACTGCTGTTGGTTTAGCTTAACTATTAAATAAGGATTCTATGTTAAACTGAGGAGCTGTTCTGAAGTCATGAGTATGTTTGTCTGCAAGGACTGATTGTACTTAAACTCAATGCAATTGTTTTGGTAGGAGTGCTTCCTTGTAGGAAAAACTAGCAGGTGCCAAGCCATGCTCTTGCACCTCAACTACTTCTGGCATCTGAATTAACTCCTTGAAAGCTAAGGTGTCTTTGCTCAATGCTAGATTCTGCAACATAGACCCATACTAAGAGACAGTAAGTATTGACGAGTTATCAGGGGAAGGAAAATAATTACTTTCTTTATGTTCCTGGCCATTTTCCGAGCCACATGGCTGCTGTAGATGCAGGTTTAGCCTTAATGGTTTGTAACTAGAGGGTTTTTCTGGAAGGCTGCTGACAGACCCAGTAATGATCCACCTAAGATGAGTCTGCCAGAACTTCCAACGAATCCATACTGGAGATCTTCTGGCTTTGGAAGGACCATAGTACGGGAGTGGCCGGTGTACCACAGCTCTG